TTAATGAACTTGGGCATCATAGCCAAGGACTGCATACTGGTACATATAAGGCCATGAATGTGAGACCTGCACTTTAGTGTGTACAATAAATTCTTAGGCAGACTTCTGGAATTATAAATTTGGGTGCCTCAGAGATCAGATGGGGAGATTTCACAAAAGCTCAGCCTACAATGGTGGAAACAGAGTGCAGAGAAAATTTCCCAAACAAGAAAACTCATGAGCATATCCCTGAACAATGAACAGATATTATTAGTAAGGCAAATAATCTTTAGGACAAAAGTTACAACAAGATAGGTTTATTACAAGCCATTTTTTTTGGGTCCCAAGAGTAGCACTAAACTGATCACTCCCCCCAGGATTTACTAATATCACATGTAAGAATAAAACTAAGAGGTTTGCATCATTTCAGTTCATTCCTTCACATATTAAAGGAAAGCAATTTATCTGTGATGCTGGGGCAATCCTATTACCACACAGTGGGAACCCCTGCCATCTTCTTTCTTGTGGGCATTGCAGGTTTTCAGTCCTCACACCTTTGGCTGGCTATCTCACTGAGTGCCATGTACACCACAGCCCTGTTAGGAAACACCCTCATCATGACCGTGATATTCATAGATTCCACTCTCCAAGAGCCTGTGGCTTCTGACTGCTGTTATGGCTTCCTCTGTGGTACCCAAGATGGTGAGCGTCTTCTGCTCAGGAGATGGCTCCATCAGCTTTAATGCTTGCTTCACTCAAATGTATTTTGTCCACGCAGCCACAGCTGTGGAGACAGGGCTGCTGCTGGCCATGGCTATTGACCGCTATGTAGCCATCTGCAAGCCCCTACATTACAAGAGGATTCTCACAGCCAAAGTGATGCTGGGAGTGAGTGTGACCATTGCACTCAGGGCTGTCTTGTTCATGTCTCCCTTGAGTTGGCTGCTGAGTCATTTACCATTCTGTGGCTCCAACAAGGTTCCCCATTCTTACTGTGAGCACATGGCTGTGGCCAAGTTGGCATGTGCTGATGCCATGCCCAGCAGTCTCTACAGTTTAACTGGTTCCTCTATTATTGTGGGCTCTGATGTGGCCTTCATTGCTGCCTCCTATGCCTTGATTCTCAGGGCAGTATTCCATCCTTCCTCAAAGAATGCCGAGCGTAAGGCACTAAGCACGTGTGGTTTCCATGTGGGTGTCATGGCCCTATACTATCTACCTGCGATGGCATCTGTCTATGTCGAGTGGCTAGGGAGGGACACAGTGCCCTTGCACATCCATGTACTTTTAGCTGACTTGTACCTGATTATTCCTCCCAGTTTAAACTCCATCATCTATTATATCAAGATTAAACACATATGTAAGAAAACATAGCATTTGCTGATGTTCTTCTTCTACCACTGTTATAAGGGTTCATGAATACGAAACATTTCAGAACTTCAGCCTTGCAGCCATCTGCGATGGTAATTTAGAATGCTATGGAGCTTGACTTATTTACTTGAAGGTAGTGATTTTAAGTTAGGATTGGGCAGAAAAGCAGATAGGAGGTGAGGCAACACAGGCACAGAGTAGCTTCCACATGGTTGTAGTAAGAACAATTAAACATCATTTCTCTGTTGTAGTTGTATTTGCTGTTACATATGAAAGAGGTGACATAAAGTTTTACAAATTCTGAAATTCTGTGATCAAGTTGTTAAGAGTATCTTTGCAAATTTTTTGAGCAAAAAAGTAAATGCGATGATTCTGATATTCTTATAGTATTTTTAATGGTTTGATTCAATCTGTATGTGAAGAAAAAATGAAATGTTTGGACTAACTATATACATGTAGGAATGTTCTTTCCTTAGCTTCTTATGTATATTTTGATCACTATTATTCTACCAGGTCCTACAGACCAGTACTTTGGTTAGACCTCCTTCTCCCACTACACACTCACCTGACTGGTTTTCTCAGTATTGTCCCTTCTTAAATGTGTTAAAATGAAAATGTGTAAATATGTGGCTATCTGATCTTGCCCTATGGTTCACTGGTGAATCCTCAGACTCCGGTCATCTGTTCACACCTAAACCACAGAGTCCTTTCCCCCTAACCAAATGGATTCTGGTTTATCTGAGGGCACAGCCATTTTCCAACGGATGAACCTGAGAGGGGAAATAGGCACTACAGCAACAGAAATATTTACCTAGATTGATGGGGAGAATGTCACCTGGGTTTAATTCATAACACAATTGGAAGTGCTTCCGAAGAACTTATCTCTCAACTCAATGTCCCAGTGAGGACCCACAGAGATCCCTTCATCCCCATAATGTAAGTCAGCTCAATCCTTCCCCAGGTCACTGACTTACCAATTCATTCCAAGTAGCTGATAGAAATTTATGCCCTTCTACTGCCAATGCTCAAAAGAGTGGCAGAATGCATTTATTTCATATATATATAT